CTAAAATGAAATAAAAACGGGAAAAATACACGAGAAAAACAAGAAAGCCGAAATAGATCAAAACGCACAATAAACTATAAAAACGAATAAAAACTAACGAAAAGTCCTAAAACGGGGGAAAAAGAAGGACAAAACAACAAAGAAAAATGTAACAAAAATGGGACAAACAGCAAGATCATCGAGGGAGACAAAATTAACAAAGCTGAGGGACCGCTTGACCTTGCAAACGATGAGCCCTAGGCTTAGGAACAACAAGCCTAGCCTTAATATTCCAACTATCACACAAGCAGATGCACATGCATTTGGTCGATTTCGATTTTCTGGCCATTAACGGCGACGACGATGTCATCAGCATATCCTCCGGCTTGGTTGGTCGCAACGATGACAACGACCCAGCTTCAACATCCAGGGGCTGGGCATGTACCGATGTGAATAGACGATGGGTTATTTGGGGATTTAGTGGTTGGGCTTGTGGAGAAAAATATGGGTACTTGATTGTAATTTTAGAAACTATTTATTTATTGCAATTTGACTTTTAAGGTCAATCTATATTTTATCTAAAGTTTAAAAAACTGCAATGTGGTCTTTAGTTTTTATATTGTTTAATTAGTGCATATTTAGTTTATTTCTTGTGCATATTTATGTAATACGAAATGCATATTTAGTTTCATACATAATGCAAGCAAATCTGCTACCAAAGCAACCTTTCTCGGGACGCATTGTGCTGTTTTATGAGTTTGGCTTTACGATCCCCATCTAGGTCATTGGACCGCAGTGCGGAAAATCGACAAGAGAGAGTTCTTGTCCCGGATCACCTTCTTCTCATTGTAATTGCCATTGTAGCACGTCGTATCGTGAACAAGCTGAGTACATTCTCGAAAGAATTGTATAGAGAAGGTCAATTACATCGATCTATGAAAGATGAATTCAATATCGAACAATGATCACTTAAGAGAATAGATAAGCTAAGAACAAGAAGGGTTTTTAGACAGAAAATACCAGACGAAGTTTTTCCCCCTTGGAGTCATGGGTTGGCTCCTCTCATTCGTCTTGCCAGTTTTTTTTATTTTTCAAAAGAGAATACTTATGTTCAATTGCATATTTTGACTTCACATTTAGTTTATACGAAATACAAATTTAGTTCATACGAAGTGCATATTTAGTTTATAAACAATGTATAATTAGTTAATATTGTTATTGAATATTTACTTGATACAAAATACATATTTTGTTCATACAAAAGTGCATATTTAATTAATATAAGCTGAATATTTGTGTGCAAATTTACTTTATACACAATGCATATTTGGTTCATAAAAAATTGCATATTTAGCATATATTTTCAGTTCATACGAAATGCACATTTAATTCATATGCAGTCCATATTTAGTTCATGAACAATGCAAAATTAGTTAACATTATTGTTGCACATTTAGTTCATACAAAATCATATTGTCGATTCATACGAAATGCATATTTAGTCCATCATAGTGCATTTTTATTATACTTAATTAAATATGTACATAATGCATATTGAGCTCATTCATTATGCATATTTAGTTCATACAAAATGGATATTTGGTTTACCGTTGTGTATATTTGTTATATTTAAATTGGTTATATACATAATGCATATTTAGTCATTCATTCATATTTAGGTAATATATGCATATTTAGTTCATATGAAATGCATATTTAGTT